AGAGATCCAGATGAATCTCTGCCTCCTGAATGCTAGGATTAAAGGCGTGTGCCACCACTGCCTGACCTCTATATTTAATTTAGTGGCTGGCTTTTTCCTCTGATCCCCAGGCAAGCTTTATTTGTTAGAGCACAAATAAAATATCACCACAATGTCCTTCAAAGGGGGAGGTCTTTTTGCACCCCTTGCTTTGGGTATTTAAAGGCTGTGAGTACTGGTATTGACCCAGAGCCCTCCCAAAGCTATCCTGTATCTCTGTCTTCTTCTTCATCTACATCTATGTTTCATAGCTATCATTTCCCAATTCCACACTCCCCACTTCAGAACTGCTCAACAGGTCGAGTGGGACTCGACATTAGACAAAATTCCCTCGAATCTCTTATGGTCGCCTGCCATCCTAACCTCCAGCTTTGGACCAGCATTTCTGCCTACCCCTCACCTGTTCAGAGGGTTTGGATAAACAAAACCAACCTCAACAGCAGAGCTACCTACATATGCTTTGTCCAGAGAGCAGCCATCCAAAGATTACCAGATATGTGAGGAAAATCTATAGCACGAATGAAGCCATCCGGAGCAAATAATTGCTGGCAAACAGGGGAAACTAATGAAAAACAAAACCAACTTTAATCAACTCTATTCAACATTCTTTGGAAGTTTCAGATTAATAATAGTCATATGTTCACAACTCGCTCTGAAAAAAAGATGACATCAGAAGAGAACAAAAAAAAATCTGGGAGATTGCAAATAGGACTGTTGGAGTCAGAGAGATGGCTCAGGGGTTAAGAGCCTGCTGGCTGCTCTTCCTGAGGATGAGGGTTCAATTCCCATTACCGACATGGTGACTCACAATCATCTGTGACACCCTCTTCTGGCCTGGAAGGTACTACATGCACTTGGTGCACAGATGTATGTGCTGGCAAAACACCCATGCACATAAAATAAAAATGCAAAACAATGACCGTCAACAGTGAAAGTTTCGGTGCACTGACAAAATTATGAAGTGGATGATTTTAGAAGATCAAGTGGTAAGGTCAGAAACATAGGAAACATATCTAAATATAAGAGATAAAAATGAGCCAGGTGGCAGTGGCGCACGGCTTTAATCCCAGCACTCCGGAGGCAGAGCCAGGTGGATCTCTGTGAGTTTGAGGCCAGCCTGGGCTACAGAGCAAGATCCAGGACAGGCACCGAGACTACACGGAGAAACCCTGTCTCGAAAAACCAAAAGAGAGAGAGAGAAAAATGAGAGAAAGGGGTTTTAGAGATGCTTAATGCATATATGGCAATCACATTTCAGAGGGAGGGGAAAGACAAAAACATGGAGAAGAAAATAGTCAAAAAAATACTTCCATGAACTGAAGGAAATAATTCTTGGCATTAAAGGAAGCAATCAAGAGACAAGAGACTCAAAACATAGTGAGAACATCCTGGCACAATAATATCTTTTAAAAATTAAAGCTTCAAGGGAAAACAAAAGGGACTATCTCCACCCCCCCACCCCACCCCACCCCATCCCAAAAAAACTAGACTGAGTTATCTGCCAACATTGATGCTCAGAGTTCTTGAGACAAAGTCTGCAGATGGCTTTGAGATCAGAATGCTCTACTCAATGACTAATGCGGAACTGGGGGCCCTCAGACACTGCGTGTGCCACCTGCCACTTTCTGAAAGTTATTAGAGAATATGACAAACAGAACGGTTAAGTTGCTCAAGAAAGCTGACGTGGACTCCAAAGCAGGGCAGCAGATGGGGGTGCCTGTTGTTAAAGCCTTCCGCAGGTGGCCGTGCCCCGGCAGCTTCACACTGTGGATGACTGCAAGGGGAATCCCTGGTCTGCCAGGGAAGGTGTTTTTGCGAAATAAGCACAATTACAATCATTAAACTCTGTGATTAAGCAGGAAATCTTGAGAGCTAGTGTGATTCCTCTGTTAAAATAGTTAAGAAGAAGAAATTTAAAATTAAGTTGTGAAAAAAAAAACTTTTCAATATAAGCATACAGTAAACCAAACCCTGAAATCATTTTAAGCAAAATTTGAGCAAGGTTGGCATTGTAGTGAAGAAAAGGGACTTCACCCATCCAGGGGTAGTTTCTGCCTCTGGGAACTCATGTTCTTTTTCAAAAAATATGTATTTATTTTGGTGGGGGTTTTTTTGTTGGGTTTTTTTTTTTGTTTTGTTTTGTTTTGTTTTGTTTTGTTTTGTTTTTTTTTGAGACAGGGCCTCTCTATTATGTAGCTCTGGCTATCTTAGAACTCTTTTTGTACACCAGTCTGGTTTCTAAATTCAGAAATCCCCCACCCCGTCTCCTAAATGCTGGGATTAAAGGCCTGCGCCACCATTGTGGCCTCCTCTTTTTTTTTTTTTTTGAGTCTGAAAGCACCACTTGGTTTATGGTGACAATTGTAAATTACCAAGCCTAGTGGCTTCCACCTGTTATCCCAGCACTCTGGAGGCTGAAGAAGGAGTGACTGCCACCAGCTGCAGCCTGGCCTGGTCTACACACAGTGTGAGAGAGAGCCTGTCAACTCTATCTAGCACTTAATATATGCATCACTTTACATCAATCTGTGCCATTCTAATAAACCATACTCCTGGGTAAGGCAGTTTAACCCTGCCAGTGACAGCACAACCATCCTTGCTCTTAACACACAGGGCATCACCACACCTCCTCATTAATTTCTAATCCTCAGCACCAACCAAACCATCTACAAGAGGGCATTCATTGGTAACAGTGAGAAAACAGAACATGAACATGTGAAAGCTAATGTAGAAACGAAGATGGGGTAAGGAAAAGAAGAGGGGTGTGTGCGTTATTTTTAGAAATCTCTTAAAGAGCAATTTTTTTTTAATAAGGTAATAACGAACCCTCTACAAAATAAAAGTCAGTATCATTTCTGTAATTTAAAATGAGGATACAAAATCAGCAGGGAAGAAAGAGGTAATGAGCACGGACTAAATTCTCCATATTTTTTAACAGGTGCAGTTGTTAATTTTATGCATTTACAGCAGGTGTCAAAAGATATGAATTTTTACAAACTATATATAATGTATATGGTCACTACCAGAAAAATAGAAAGCAGACGAGCTAAAGTGGGTGCATTAAGAAATAGCAATGAAGCAAATTATTGGGCGTTTGGGGTGATGTCAAAAAAGCTAATAAAGGAGAGAAGCTGGAAATGGAAGACCTAGTATACCTTACACCGTTTTTAAAATTATCAGATGTTATTTTAAGGTGGAGAGGTCCACAGTAATATTAACAGAAACACTCTTCAAAGGAAGGACAAGCAACAGCAGGCACCTCTCACCTCTGGTATAATGAAAGACAGTAATGCTAGCTGACCATCAAACCCAAGAGTGGCCAAAAAGAACAGCAGAAGTAATAAACATATACCAGTAAACCATGCTCTTCTGGTGGTGTTTGTTTTGTTTTGTTTTGTTTCTGGATTCTTGGTTTCTACATCATTACTGGTTAATGGCCTGTTTTTCTGCCCATAGGAACTTCTCAAGAAGCACTCCTTCCGTAGCGTTTAAACAATCATTGAGCCATACTGTCTTAGTTAGGGTTTCTATTGCTGTGAAGAAACACCATGACCACGGCAGCTCTTATAAAGGAAAAACATTTCATTGGAGTAGCTTACATTTTCAGAGGTTTAGTCTAGTAACATCATGGTGTGACGTGGTGGCATGGAGACAGACATGGTACTGGAGCTCAGAGCCCTACATTTTGATAGCTAAGCAAAAGAAAGTTGTCTGAGACACTGATGTGGCTTCAGCATCTATGAGACCTCAACTCTGGGACAAGACCACACCCTCTCCAACAAGGCTACACCTTCTAGTAGTGCCCCTGCTTTTGAAGGCCTTTTTTTTTTTTTCAAACCACCACACATATACTCTCAATTTTCCACCCTGCTCATTTCCTTCAAAGAAAAGGCTGCCTCAATCAACCTGTGTTGTGGGCAAACAGGATGGTACTGCTTCTTCAGGACATTCCTTACTGAAATGTAAAGTGGCTACATTTTGGCTTCTCTGAATCTACTGTACAGAAATACTCCCAAATACTGGAAAGAAAACTGTGTGCTTGGATTCCAATCCAAGAATCTCTAAAAGTAAAAGGAGCCTTAATGCAGAGTGACAGGTGCACAGTACTTTTTCACTTAAAAAATAAAACACACCCATATGCAATAAGCCTGAGCTGTATTAATAATATTGTTAAAGGAGAAAAATATATTCAAGATGATATATTGTACAATATTTGTTCAAAAAGTTACACATACACATGCATGCCGGCAGTGTGCTTACTGTGTTGTATGGCAGAAATGCTGCTTTCACTCATATTTTTATTATTATAATATTTTTGTGAAACAATATATTGTTTGTCTCACTCTGTAGCCTAGGCTGGGAACTCCTAGAAATTCTGTTTTAGCTTCACAAAGCTGGGATTACAGATTTGTGCCGTCACACCTGGTTATTTATTTTTATTGTTATTATTATGTCTTTACAACCAGTATTACTCTTCATGTATTTGAAGAAATCAGGTCACGTCTCAACTCCCTTATATCAGGACAAGCTTTCATTGGGGGAGGAGCTTGCTATTTCCCACTCAAAATCTAAGGGAAAAACTCCCTGCAGTTAGTGGCCCTTTGTAGCCTGGGATTGGGGATTTTTGAGTGGGTTAGAGACCTAGAGTGGAGCGGAGGCCGCGAACCTAGAGCGGCGTGGGGGGAACGCGGTGCAGCGGGGTGGGGGGGTCAAGGTGGGCAGGCAGGACAGTGGGGTGTGCAAGGGGGGGGGCGTGAGAGCTGCGGGGTGCGCGCGACCCGAGGCAGCAGCGGCCGGGGTGCACGGGGGTGCTGCGGGGTGCGGGCCCCAAGACAGCGGCCGGGGTGCACGGGGGTGCTGCGGGGTGCGCGGGGGAGCTGCGGGGTGCACGGGGGAGCTGCGGGGCGCAGGCCCAGAGGCAGAGGCCGGGGAGCACGGCGGAGGCCAGGGGTGCGCAGTACCTTCCCAGCGCAGCTCGCCTCCCGGCTCGCGCTGCAGGAACTTGTACCAGAACGTGTCCACGCGGCCCGCGTCGTCGCGGCCCGACTCCGGCCCGTCGGGCGCCAGCTCCACTTCGGCGAGCCACAGGCCGGGCTCCTGCAGCGCCAGCGCGGCCGCCCCCGCCGCGGTGCCGGCGGGCCTGAGTCGCACGGCCCCGCGTGGCTCCCAGCGGCCCAGCTCGGGCCGCGAACCCGCCAGCAGCAGCTCGGGCCGCGCGCCGGCCACCGCGGGCGGCACCACCACGCCGAAGCGGAAGAGCATGGCGGTGGTCCCCCCCCACCGAGCACGTCCAGTCCTGGGCGCCTGGCGAGCGGCGGTGCGAGCCCCGGGGCAGCGCGCGGACACGTGCCGCGCCGCGCGCTTGGGGTCGGGTCACGCGGCCGCGGGTGTGTGCGTTCCCCGCGCACCCGGGAGCTGCGGCCGCGGGAAGCGAGGGTTCGGGGCCCACCGTGGGACTAGGGGAGAGGGAAATGGCACTGGACGATCTGGACACATTGTCCAGTCGTCCTCCTGGAGATCGGGAAGTACCTTTACACTAAGTCACGAAGGAGGAAATAGTATGCAGCAGGCTGAGCCCCCAACCTCACCCGCAGTGAAGTTGGGGAAAGATCCCCGGACTTAGCAGTAGCTCTCAGCAGCCCAACTTTCAGTCTCTGTGGGCCTCTGTTTATAAAGTGGGAATAATGCAGATGGATAGTGATCTTTAGAGATGTTCCACTCCAAACGCAGAGCCCAGAGTTCAGCAACCACACAGGGAGACTGCAGAGTAAAAAAACAAACTCGTGTGTAGCCTATGGAAAACGATCTTCCCAAGATCAAAACACGACAAAACTTTGTGAGATGATAAATATGTAAGTTTAGAAACAAGGCCTCACAGCGGAGACCAGACTGACCTCAAATTTTCAAGATCCTTCTGCCTCTGTCTGAGCCCAGCTGTGTGTGTGTGTGTGTGTGTGTGTGTGTGTGTGTGTGTGTGTGTGTGTGTGTGTGTGTGTGTATTTACAGGCCCAGGGCCCTGCTAAGGCTACTTCCGTGTTTGTGTGTTGCTTCTTGTAAATATTAGCACTGGCACTGGTTTTTCTCATAAAACATCTTTGGGTCAAGAAACAGCTTTATTATTTTGCCAAAAAAAACCCAAAACACTACATCTTGCAGGAAGTAAGGGGGATACTCCAATTTGTTACTGATATGAATAAAGAAATATTCTGTTTTTAATTGCTTTATAGTATTACTTTGGTATTCTTGATATGTTCACCAATATTTAACCTGATAAACATCTCCTAAATAAGTTAAAAATCACAAGCAGCATAGTTGTCAGTATTTGGAAACTGGTGTAGGCGAAAACCAGAATTTTATGCATGCAGAAAATCTGTAAGACAAAAGTAGAAAAAAATGCAAAATATACAAGACTCTGTTTACAGAACAGTTAGTAAAGGAATACAACAAGTCACTCTTTAAACAGGGACATTCCACTCAGAGCTTGTTTGGTTGCTGTGTTTACGGATGAAAATGTGAAGATGGTAAGGCCGGCCAAACTTGGCTGATTCAGAAACAAAACAGAAGTGAGCAGAGAGTGGCAGAGGGGTCGGTTTATTTAAAGTCTCTGTTACAAAACATTCTTGGAGTAATTTTTGGACGATAATAGTCATTTGGCCATGCAAAGAGGACTACTTGTCTATTTTGAAATCCAGACTTCAGTGGTTTATTTCTTCAGGAAGCAGGCTCTAGCTCTTTTGCAGCTTTCTTGTGTAGGGTGCTGCTGGCACTGGGTGTTTTTCATGTAGATGTCTTCCCACCAGACCTCCAGAGTGATCCCTGCCCTCTCAGAAGTGAAATAATGGCAGAAAGAAAATATGTTGGTTCAAAGGACTTTGACTTTTTCTTCTTTCTCTTTATAAAGATATTAAGTGTCTTAACCATTGAAAGAAGCAGCCTTTTCAACCGTTAAACAAAATATGTGATCGTTTATTTAGACATGGATCTGAATATGGTGAAATGTGATGGCTACATTGTGGGGCGTTTACCCACCAAGCCCATAGTTCCCCAGAGTTTTCTTGAGTGCAAGCAGCAGGTAATATTAGATAGAAGGATTTAGATTGTGGAGATAAACAGAAAATACAGGATAGCCTCCAGAGGGCCTGGAACCTTTTCCAATGGGCCCTGACTGTCTCTGCCCCAGGGTATTTATAGAGACACCAAGGGGTGGAGCAAAAGACCTCCCTGCAGCCCAGCCAAGTGCAGACTATCTCAGACACCTGCACTCAGGCCTGTGGTCCTAATCATCCTTTCTATGCGGATCTGCTGGGTAAAGCCATGAGGAACCTGAAAAAGGGCTCCCACAGGTCCCCCTTTCTTAATATATAAAAAATAACTCATTATTAATGGCTTACAGCAATCTCTATAGCTGTTATACCTCCTAGTATGGGAGCAGAGGATGATAAAGATGGCATTAACTTTTTTGGATTAGGTCCAAGGTCACTACAGCAGTCTTTAGCTGCATCAAGCCCTCTTTAAACCAAAAACTTTTTTTTGGTTTTTTTGAGACAGGGTTTCTCTGTGAAGTTTTGTACCTTTCGTGCAACTCACTCTATAGCCCAGGCTGGCCTCAAACTCACAAAGATCCGCCTGGCTCTGCCTCCCGAGTGCTGGGATTAAAGGCATGGGGCCGCCGCCGCCGCCGCCGCCGCCGCCGCCGCCGCCGCCGCCGCCGCCGCCACCACCGCCACCACCACCCCCCCGCTTCTTTATAATTTTTTAAAACAAAATCTTGAACCTAGTTAGAAAAAAACCCAAACTTATACAATTCCTACAAACCCATATTGAAAAGTAATATTCTCAATCTAAACATTAACACTTTGAAAACTTTTAGCAAAACATCCAAAAGCAGTTTCTTAATAAAACTCTTTACACTTTGAAAGTAGTCTCTTAGTATACCCCGTTTGCATTTCTTACTAACAAAACATGACATTAATCCACTGAAACAAAATATTTTTTAAATTAAATACACTAAGGAATATTACTTCTCCCCTTTCTTTGTAAGTTTTTTAAGCAAAATCTCAAGCCTAGTTAGAAAGCCCAAACATTTCCATTTAAACAGTACCATTTATTTTTTCATAAACAGTTCCACAAAACAATTCATGAATCACCAGTTAAAGCATATATGCATACACAAAACTGCATCTTGATTCTAGGTAGAAACAATAAATTTCATTTAAACAGTTCCATTTTTAACACAAATAATTCCAGAAAACAGTTCCTAAGTCATCACCATAAGTAAATTCAAAATTGTCCCATTGCACTGAAATCACTGTTGTCCCCAAATTCAAATGATAAATTCTGGTATGAGCCTTCCAAATACGAAGAAATCCATAACAAAAATCTTTTTGTAGTTTTATCTCATTTTTTTAAGTTCAAAAATTTCAAAGGTAGTAAATTCTGGTATCAGACTTTCACTTCCAAATATGAAGAAGCATTTTACAACCAAAATTTTTTGCAGTTAACAGTTTTAGTTTAAACAAGCGTATCTGCAATTTTCATTCTCAAGCTGGAGACCTTTTCAGTTACAGTAATATTTTAAACTGCACCGTTTTTGATGTTAGCTCAGGTTTTTCTGTGTTGCGTTGATTTCCCATGGATCTCAGCTGTGGATGTCTTGTGCTGGTTCTGGCATCCGCCATTCCTAGCTTCTTAGCTGCTTCTGGAGCTTTTGAAACCATTCAGACTGCCTACTTTGCAGTCTACTAGGACACTACCTTCTGTGTCTCAGGTTCTTTCACCATATACATTAAGCATAGCCTCACACTCAATATTTATGCTTTTTACAAACTCACATATAACATTAACATCTACTTATTTATACTTCTTAAGGAAACTATAGAACTACTTTAGCAAAATATTTCTTATTTACTTCTTTTTTTTTTGGTTTTTTGAGACAGGGTTTCTCTGTGTAGCTTTGCGCCTTTCCTGGAACTCACTTGGTAGCCCAGGCTGGCCTCAAACTCACAGAGATCCGCCTGCCTCTGCCTCCCAAGTGCTGGGATTAAAGGCGTGCGCCACCACCGCCCGGCCTACTTCTTATTTTCATCTTTTACAAGTAGAATCTTTACTTATTTACTTCTTATATTTTTATTTAAACTTACATTTACAAATTCTTATTTAAACTTAATTTAAAACTAGCATCTTTACTTCTTACAAGCTTATTACTACATGTCTTAAGACTACCTTAGATACTTCTTGCAAGCTTATATTCTTAAAGGAACTCTATAGATCTATTTTACAAACTTATATGGGGCTACCATTAGCATATATCTAGCTTAGCAAACACCTAAAGATTTCTTAACACAGAAATCTAACAAGACAGAATAATTTCTACAAACTCACATATCTTATTTCATCTTTTTCTACTTCTTACTCTTTATTATCACTATCTCTATTAGAAAGATTCTCTTAACTAGACAGAAAGTATGTACATCATTTCTAAAGTTTAGAGTTTATAGTCAGTTTTGCTATACTGTAGCAACGCCTACATTACTACCAATTCACCATGTCCAAGTGAGGGGCTGAGGATTAAACAGAGAGACCAGACAGCGGGTCATTCATCTCAGTAGAATGCCCTTTATTGAAGGAGGGAGGAGGCCTTAAATACAGACTTACAGCACAGTGGAAGAACCTGGGAGGGCAAAAGTAAGCTACAGATGTTTTACATTCTAGCATTACACCAATATGCAGGATATGCAAACAAGGAACCTTTGGTAAGTTGTTTAGGAGGAATGAAACCGGCAAGGAATTAGCACAGGGAGGACATCTGCTCGAGGTCAGCAAGCAAGGCAACAGCTCCCCAAGGAATGGGGGCCAGGGCCCAACACTATACAACACTGGAATTTAGTGAGTGTTGTCATTATACAATTGTGATATTTGTTGCTAGGAGACTGTAACATTCTTGGGACAAAGCCACACCCCAAAGTTGGGGAGTTCTCTCTGCCATTCCGGAACCAGAAGAGATGCACTGTCAGTAGTAAATGGTTTTTAACTAGAGGCTGTCCCTTCACCCAAATTCATAATAGCTCCACTAAGTGCTTCAATTCAGACAAATGTTTCTATTACAGCAGTATTTTTGGTTTGTTCTACCGAAAAACTTCACTTTACGCTGAGGGTGAAATTACCGTATTTAGCTGCTGTGAAGCTCTTCACACAAATACTGCACAGCTATTAGGTGGTATAAAGTATTTTTCTAAAGGCGCTAGTAAAGCTAAAAGCAGCACAGCTCCTAACTCTATTTCCTCACTGTTTACATTAACCAGTGACAAAACCTCAGAAACACTAATCCAGCCACTTTCATTCTGGTTCCTTTATAGGAATGTCATTGGAGCTGACCTTCCTTAGTTCCACATTCCTTACCAAACGCTCCTGTAACCACCAAGCTTCATTCTCCTCTTGTGAAAAAACACAAACATGTTCTCGACCCCATATTAAAACAGGCTCAGGATCCTTCCATAATCCCGAGCAGGGATCTTTCCATTTGTCACTGTGCCAAAATCTATCTGCGGCAGACTGTTCATAGACATCCATATTCAAAAAGTTCAGAACAAAAAGAGCATGATTTAATACATTATGTGGTGATTGAGGGTAAATTCCTTTTTTATTTTTATTTTTTGAAGTTGTATTTTAAGACTGCTATGAGTCCTTTCTACAATACCTTGTCTCTGAGGACTATAAGGAATACCTGTTTTATGTACGATTTCCCATTGGGTACAAAATTGTTGAATGTCTTACTACTATATCCAGAACCATTATCAGTTTTAATAATTTTTGGTATACCCATATATGAAAAACACTTCAAGCAGTGCATAATTACACGTTTTGTAGATTCCCCAGGTTGTGCACTAGCCATTAAAAATCCTGAATAAGTGTCAATGGTCACATGTACATATCTTAATTTGCCAAATTCTGCAATATGAGTAACATCCATTTGCCATAGATGATTAGGAAAAAGACCTCGGCGCTGGAGAAATGGCTCAGTGGTTAAGAGCATTAGCTGCTCTTCCAGAGGTCCTGAGTTCAATTCCCAGCAACCACATGGTGGCTCACAACCATCTGTTATGGGATCTGATTCCCTTTTCCGGTGTGCATGGAAGACTGGTCACTCATATACATAAAATAAATAAACATTAAAAAAAAGAAAAAGACCTCGAGGGTTTACCCCTAAGTGAGGGATAGGAAAATATTTTGGACATACCCCACATCGTTTAACTATTTGAAGAGCTGCTTCTTTGATAAGATTGAATTGCTTTCTTCAGCTTTTGCTATTTTGTTGATGAAGAGCATGTGACTGTTGAGCCATCCACTTGGGATAATGCTACTTACTATCCTTGTAACAGCCATTGCATTACCCTCAGTTAAATAACCAGGAAGATTGGAGTGAGTTCTAATATGGCCCACAAAACATGGCAGCTTTCTTTTGTGAATAGCATCTTGAGTTTGTTGAAACATTTTGACTTGATTGTTGTTAGTTCCAATATTTTCACCAAAACTGTTACTATTCAAAGGAGTCAAGAACATAGATGTTCTTTCATGAAACATACCCTTCATTAACTTACTTTGAGAAAAAGCATTTTCAGTATTTTGTATTTTCACTTCATTAGCTTTAACTCCTGATGTTATCATTATTAGCAGCTGTAATATTTAGCATTGATTTCTTATAAGGAACTTTCAGGTGAAGCAACCGGTTTTTTTTTTTGTTTTTTTGTTTTTTTTTTTAAGACAGCTTTTCTGTCTTTTTTAAGACAGTTTGTTTCCACCTATAAATCAGTCATTTCTTTTTTGAATGCCTGTTTCCTTGTCTCCCTTATTAGATTTGCAAAGAAATCATTCATTACAGGCTGTTTGTTCAAGAGGTAAAGAACTTTAATTTCCCATAAGTTTCTTCACATCTAAAACAATATTCAGTGTATAAACTGCTTTCTCTTGTTTTCTTAAGGATTTAAAGTGGCTTGTTTGCTCTTATAGGTAGCTTTTTGTCTGATCTGAGTTCTCAAGAGGTAAGATTAAGCTTTCTAGCATTGCTTTGAGAAGAAACTTCATTCTGAGCTGAAAAGTTTTTGGACAGTATTGCCATCTTTAGCTGAAATACTACATTTCCCAGAATTCATTTCTCTTCATCAGCTCACTGTTAAAGAGTTAGCTTTCGGACTTCGTTTCCCATAGTTCTTTTCGGGTCTGCGAGTCAACTTCTGATACTTTTACCGGACTTGCTTATGAAGTTTTTGCTTTTGCTACAAGAGATTTGAACCAAGTGTTTTAAGTTTTCAACTATGGGACATTGGGAGATTTCTGTTTTCTCCTCAGCTGGCTTCAGCAGGTGTCTCTCCTTCATTTGACACCAGCCTGGATTAGAACCGCACCTGCCTCTTTAGCATTGAGGCTGGCATTCCTGATAGCAACTTTCCTGGGGGCTTGTGTTTGCCTTAGCCAGTCAGTGAAAAGCAAAAACATTTACAACAGAGCTTTTCCATAGCTCCTTCAGAGATTTTCTCCCACTGATCTTATTCTCATTTTGCTTGTTCCTTCCCCACCCCCCAGATGCAGAGCTTCAGATATCTCGGGCGGCTCTGTTCCTCTACTAGCTGCCTTTGGAGGTAAGAGCTTTTTTTCCCCCTCCCCCCGAATCTGCCTCAAATTCTAGCAGCTTTTTCAGGTCATACATTTTCTGGGGAGGATTATGTCCCTTCTCTGTTTCTTCAGAGTCTTTCTCCCAGACAGTTCCCAGTTTGGTCTCAATTTATCCCCTCTACCCCAGAAACATTTCCCAAAGCCACAGTGACAGCTTTTGCTTCTGAAGGTAGGGGCTTTAGTCCCTTTCTGTTTTCAGGGTCTGTGTGGTTTGCTTACAGATTGAAAATCAAGCTTCTGCTTTTCTAACAGGGGAGGTTTTTGCCATCTCTAAACTCCCATTAGGACAGGTGTTTTCCCCTCAGGCCTTTCACCTGGCTGGGTCCCCCAGTGGGTTGCATTTGTTTGTCCTGCTCTCAGATAGAGCTTATCCACCTGAGGCAATCACCCCTCAGGGCTGCACTCCCTCACCTCACCGGGAGTCAGTTGAAACAAATCTTTTCTCAAAAAGATGCTTTCTCTGATAGAAAAGAAAGCTTTACTCCCGGATAGTTCTGTTGTGCCCTGGCTGGGCTGTTTCCCCAGACCGCATTCTTGATTTGGCAGTCCAACTGCAGATGCAGTTTGGCTTTATTGCTTTCCCAGAAAGGTCCTCTCTCTGATAGGAAAGCTTTTTTCAGATTTCTTTTTGCAGCTGTGGACCTATCAACCCGGGACTTGCAGGAAAGTGGGCAACAATGCTGTTCCCACTGGCATTAGCTTTGTTTGTTCATTAGCAGTTTTCCCCTGGGTCCTGAACCTTCCTGCCTCAGCTGTGCACTCCAGGAAGTTTGGAACTGCAGAAACCCTAGTATTCCCGAAATGCATTTCAACTCAGAGATGCTGGCCAGTCACCTCTAGGGTGTTGGTCTGAAGCGAGGAAACAATGCTAAAAGTGTTTGCATTGCTTCAGGGGACCTTTGTGTTAGGGCAATTAGGAGCACCTTTCATTGACCCTCACTCAAAACCCTTGATGGATGCCTCAGCTCAGCTGCAACTGAAAAGCTTGCCTTTTTTGTTTTTCCCAGTAAACAGTTTGCTGCCCTATTGGGCTCTTTACCCTTACTCTCCAGAGCATTTCCCTCAGGGTACTCTGACCCACTGTCTTTTACTAGCTTGAAGAGACAGAGTTTAGAAGAGGTTTTTAGGAACTTGCCCCTGCCTTCTGCATTGCAGGGAGGGTTTTTTGTTTTGGTTTGGTTTGGTTTTGGATTTTTTTTTTTTTTTTTTTTTTTTTTTTTTGTTTTGTTTTTGTTTTTCGAGACAGGGTTTGTCTGTGTAGCTTTGCACCTTTCCTGGAACTCACTCTGTAGCCCAGGTTGGCCTCGAACTCACTCTGCCTCCTGAGTGCTGGGATTAAAGGCATGCGCCACCACCGCCAGGCCTGCAGGGAGGATTTTTAAAGCTTGAAAGAAAACTTAGAGAGGTTTTGCTGTCTTAAGAGTTTTGTTGTTTTCTCTTAGAACTAATCACAGGTGGTCCCCATACTAATATCTTCAGGTGATTCTAATTTTTGTCCTTCTGAGAAAAAGGCTTTAGTTTTTAAGGATTTTTGTTGTTGTTGTTAAGAGAGCTTTTAGTTTGAGAAAGATTAAGGCTTGTTAGAGAGATTTTTTTCCCCAAATTTTCCAAGGAAAGCTTTTAGTTTAGAGAAAGATTTTTTTCCCCCCAAGAGAGAAAGACCAACTTTTCCCAAAACTTCTGAACTTCAAACTTTTTGGCTTTTTACACCCCCATTTTTGCCTCAGGGAGAAAACACTTTCTCCTGTCACTTGGATTTAGCATTTCAGCTGTCCCCAGGTCAAAAGCTTCCATAGGAAACTTTTTCTTCCCCATAAGCTCAAAGAAGAGTTTTTTTAATACCTGTAAAGCTCAAAGAAAGATTTTCCCCTCCAGTTTATGTTCATAGCCCCCAAAGTTAGAAAACTGAAGAGTTTTTCTGTCTAGTTGCCTTACTTTTTTTTTCCTACATGATCTTACACTTCTAAGCTTTTCCTACACTATCTATACCTTATACTTATTTTTCACAGATAGAAACTGAGAAAGGGATAGAAGATAGAAAATTTTGACAAGAGAATTTTGCACTGCAGCATCTGGCATCCTTCCAGTCCATTTTTCCTTTTCTTTCGAGGATAAAACCCCTGCCACTTAATAATATATGTGCATATATATATATATATTATATTCCATAACACCGGCATGCCCCTTTTTCCACTTGCAGGGCTGATTCAGCACTTTTGCCAAAAACTCTGTAATAAAACTATTATTTTCCTTTGTCTTTAGTTCCTATTACTTTGTCTTTAGTCCCTGTTCATTTGTCTTTAGTCTCTATTTTTTTTCTTTTTTTCTTTAGTCCCTGTTCGGGCGCCATTCTTCAGGGCGTTTATCCACCAACTCCACAGTTCCCCAGAGTTTTCTTGAGTTCGAGCAGCAGGAAATATTAGATAGAAGGATTTAGATTGTGGAGATAAACAGATAGAAAATATAGGATAGCCTCAAGAGGGCCTGGAACCTATTCCAATGGGCCCTGACTGTCTCTGCCTCAGGGTATTTATAGAGCAAAAGACCTCCCTGCAGCCCAGTCAAGTGCAGACCATCTCAGACACCTGCACTCAGGCCCATGTTCCTAATCATCCTCTTTATGCAGCTATGAGGAACCTGAAAATGGGCTCCCACACTATATTTGTGTACCAAGCAAAGTGGAAGTGGAAAGCAGATTACCAAAATAGGGAGTAAACAACATGTCAGGCCTCAATCAAATTTTGACTGTCAATCATTCGGCTATATCAACCATAGTAATAGTCACTGAGAACTCATTATGAGCCAGACACAGTAACTACAACGTTATCCCCATTTTCAGATGCAAGGAGACCGAAGTACTGAAGGGGTCAGTCCACAGGAAGCAAAGGTAAAGTCACATGCTAAAAAAAAAAATCCATTTTGTTAACAGTTAAATATGTAAAGGCAGGTTGGTAAGAAATTTTTATATGGAATGCATTTAAATTCATGCATATTTTTCAATTTTATATAATACATTTAGTGTGTGTGTGTGTGTGTGTGTGTGTGTGTGTGTGTGTGTGTGTGTGTGTGAGATATGTGTGTGTCCGGGGATTGAAGTTAGGTCATCAAACTCGGCATCAAGCACATTTACCTGTTGAGGAATCTCATACAGCCCAGACTGGTCTCAAACTCAACATTTGACCCAAATTGCCCTTAAATTCCCGATTTTTTTGCCTCAACCTCCTATATTCTGGGATTATGGGCTTGAACTTCCATACCCACTTTATGCATTTGTTTCGTTAATAATAGAAACACAGGTTGAAGACACCACGATAGAGTAGCCAGTGGTTAAACTGCATTACACCCAGTCTTTTTCTTTCTTGGATTTTGTCAAATTTCCCTTTATATTTCAAAGAGTGTTGGTATTTATTCAAAGAGATTATTTATTAAATCCATTTGCAGTCAGATTTAAATGCTAGAGTGACATGCTGAATTTAGAGCAAAAACTGAGCCCAGTGGAGTAACATCATTTTAAAAAAAACAACCATTTTTATTCCATTTCTATAATGCCATCTTATATATAGCTATAATATTTCTTGGAGAATGGGTAATAAATTCAAACCTAAGAGTTTCAGGATCCAATTCAAATATGCATTTGTTCAAAGTCCCCTTGGAGAAAGCCATTGCCTGGTTTGGTTGTGATGTATGTTTCTGACTCTGTGTTTCACTAGTCAGGAAGCTGTTAGTCTCCCCTTGTGATACTGTGGGTATAGATGGACACTGGCTGATAGAAGTCACAGTTTGTTTAAGTATCAGTTTATTACTTCAAAGAACATATCTAAAAGTTAAATGTGGCACATATACTTTCCTGACTTTGTGCCTTAAAGAGCAAAACCCAGAGAAAGTTTGATACAGCATTATCAAGAAGTGTGCATTAGTTAATCATAGCTAATTCTTTCCCCTGGATTGGAAACAGTGGTTGAGGTTGTTCGAAACCCCTCTGAAAATGTGAGTCAACAGAAGAGCGGCCAGCCTCTTTGTCATGCTCCTTTTTCCTTATTTATGTTTATATTCTTCATTTATACTATAAAAATGTTCATTTAAAAGCTATTCCCCAAGAGGCTGGAGAGATGGTTCATTGGTTAAGAGCATATCCTGCCTGTGCACAAGATTGGGCTTCAGTTTTCAGCACCCACCACTGCCTATCACTCCAGTGCTAGAGGATTCGACATCCTCTTCTAGTCTGTTCAGACAGCTGCACACACCTCCACACAGACACACATGCATACACATAATTACCAACAAAAGGAAGATCCCCGGGATACAATTACAGTGCAGCATACACCATTTCAAAGGACACGGTGCTGCCCTTTCTCTGCCCATCCCATTCCACCCCCATCACTGTGACCACACCTCCTCCCTCAGCTGAGAACCCCTATAAGCCCGAGTTAAGGCTGTGACCTAAATGGACTCTGCCAGGAGAGAGTGAGGGACAAAGTGGTTGGTTGGTCCTTGAAGTTAAAGACACGGGTTTAAGGCTTCCTTCAGGTATAAAAAAGATCCCAAGTCTGAGGTAACTTGATTGACAACTGACTAATGCTGGAAGGGATGTTCTTACAGACTCTTGAAAAGATTTAGAGCACCAAGGATGAAGGTTGGTGAAAGAGACCATGGGTGGGGTAAATGTGAAAAAAAAAATACTTAACAATTTGAACTTTCTGTAATTCACTGTTTGCTTCCCCCCCCCCAACCATTGTGTGTGTGTGTGTGTGTGTGTGTGTGTGTGTGTGTGTGTGTGTATGTTATAATAAGAATAAACATAGATGTTTGTTCTGCTTTTTGAAACATGATCTTGACGTCCTATAAGGACTAGGCTAGACTCAAACTCACTCTGCCTTACGAGTGCTGGGATTAAAGGCGTGCACCACCACCACATTCACTGAATAAACATATTTCAGGTTAAGTTCACCACGTTCCTTTCCTCATGCAGGCCTGGTGAGTAATGATTGCAAACAAGTCTCTAGGAGCAGTGTGTGTAGCCTAAGCTTATCTGGGTTTCCATGAGGATCTGTGGAGACTGTTTCTGGTGGATATTCCAAGTCTGATCTCCATGCTTTCCCAAGCAAAGCTTCAAACACTTATGCAGTGCTGTTGGGCACAGTGGCCAGGATTCACATGGCCAAGGCCATCGTGTCCTTCCACTCCAAGCTGTAGAACACGGAATATGTGATGGAGGCCCTGTGCAGAGCATGTTCAAGTTCCCTGGAAACCCAAAGATCCACATCTCAAAGAAGTTGAGTGGGGCTCCACTAAGTTTAAAGCCAGTGAGTCTGAAGATGTGGTAACTGAAAAGTGGCTCATCCTTGGTGACTGTGGGACCAAATATATCCCCAATCATGGGCTCCTAGCAAACAGTGGGCCCTACACTCCTGTGTGCTGAATCCCACACTCTGCCAGTCATACTTAGCAATAACTCTCACATCAATCTATTTTAGACATGAAGTAGATTAGGTCCAGGCAGAAGGTAAGTTTGAAACCATTCTTTCTAGACATTTTTATTGTGTATATTAATATGCACATGTTCATGTGCCTGCAGGTGCCCCGTTGAAGCCAGAAGAGGGTATAGGGGAGCTTAGTTGGGTGAGTCTCACCCTTCAAGTGCAAGGTGCCTCTAGGAGGGTGGTGCAGCTATGAACCTACCTCCTCTGCTCCATCTTCTGCTGTCATCAGACTCCAGTGCTGTTTTGGGACTGTTGAAGTATCCAGCTTCATGGACTGAGCAGTTTTTCAACCTCTCCAGCGTGTATATGCCCACTGTTGGACTAAGACCCTATCATATAAGTGGATCTAATAGATCCCCATTTATAATGCGTATGGGCGTACGCATGCGCACGCAGACACGTGCAGGCACAATTGCTTTTGTTCCTCTAAAGAACCTGTGTAATAGCTGGAGGTAAGATACTCATATTTAATTAGTGGAACCAACCATATATGCCAAGATAAATATTTATTGGAGCATGCAATAAGGATACAGTCAATGTACAATTTTCCAAAGTAGCTCTTACGTAAATAAAATGAGAGAATGGGTAGTCTGGTGAACTAGTTGAAGAGAATTCAACAATGAAAGAAACTTAGAGAAAGATGATTAGGTTACAGTGCAAAAGCTGATTAACTTTCTACTGGGCTATTAAACTGCATTATCAGTTGATCTATTATACCAGAGAGAACGTGCCTGCTTCGTTAACAGATAAATATGTACAAAATTTCATACCTAATAAACATTGGACCTTGGCCTTTAGTAATAGATAGTAAAATAAATAAAGGCATTGAAAGCTTATGGAAAATGAAATAATCCTTAGCTGGGCAAATCCCTCCAGGGAGGTGGCTGAGGCAAGAGGAGACAAGCAAATCCAAGCCCAGCCTGGGCCAGGTGGGCTGGACTGTCCTGGTGTTCCAGTCTCTACTGCTCAAATTGTGTTCCACAAACTAAGTCCAGGCTCTTATTGAGTCTCCTACTGGAAGAGTCCACTTGGTAGCCCCCTTCAGCCAATGGCATTTTTTAAAATATAGGATGAATATTGAGTTTGGGGAGTTTCGTCTAATGCTCATGAGAACGTAAAATAATGAAATCAATTCAACAATTCCTCAGAAAGTGAAAGATACAGTAGCTATACCACCCATCACTGCCTTTCCTCTACAAGTAAACATGTCACTCAAGCTTTTGCGTGAATTCTTATGGAAACATCACCCAGAATAAACCTATCCTGAGACGACCCAAATATTTGTCAACTAATAAATGGATCAACAACTGTTATATCACGGGATGGGATGGAATAAAACCAATGAGCTAATGATACTTGTCAAAACACAGATGAACCTGAAAGCATGGTGCTAAGTAATAAGACACAAAGCACTGTGGATAGTATGATTCCATGTGTATGAAATGAGCAGACTCAGGAGTTCTGCAGGGTTTAGGAAGGAAGTTATGTGTTGCCAGGGATTGGATACAACAGTAGAGAAAATGGAAAATAACTACTAGAGAATTTGGGGTTCCTTGGAGAGATGACAAAAAATGTCTTAACATTAATTTTAGTGACTGTTACACAACACTGTGAATATTCTTCACAGTCACTAAGTTGTACACTTTAAATAGATAACTTGGGGGGTAGAGAGATGGCTCAGTGGTTAGAAAGCACCGGCTGCTTTTCCAGAGGACTGGATTAATTCCCAGCACCTGCATGGAGGCTCACAAGTGTTTATAACTCCAGTCCCAGGAGCTCTGACACCTACATCTGCCCTCCATGGGAGCCTCATACACATGGCACACAGACACATATGCAGGCAAAACACCCATACATATAAAACAGATAATAATCAAAATGATTTTTAAAACAGATGACTTATATGTCAATTTTACTAAATTATTCTGTCTGGTGTTTTTAAGTTCTTTGAGTTTTGAATCCCTAGTTTTTTTGAGACAGAGTCTGGTATGTAACCCAGGCTAGCCTCAGACTCAAAATGATCCTCCTGCCTCAAAATCTGAAGTACTAGGAATGCCCAGTCCACCAACTTTCAATGGAGAGGGCCCATAAATCTAATTACTCAGAATTTAGAAAAGCAGATGTGCTCCTGCTACCCTACAACAGGGTACTGATTTGCACTTTGTAGAAGCAGGTAACAACAATAATTTTTGATTTATTCAAATTCTTCCCCCAAAGACATATCTATTTGTAAAGCAATCCATTACAAATACTTTTGAGAAATTTGTCATTGAGTTAGGTTACCTGGAGCATGCAGATCTATCCAAGAGGTGTTCCTTGCCCACACAGAGCTCAGCATAGCTGGAGAACATAAAAACACAGGCTTTACATTTTAATGACCCGAAATTGTTTGTGATGGAGTAATGTCTAACCTAACCCTTAGCCTGTTACAAGTCAGAATAGGCTGCAGCATGAAGGGCCTGGGCAGCTCTGAGATGTCATCACAGAGGATTTGTGACTAAACCCTGAAGTGTTAGAAAAAAACAAAAAGGATGTTCTCTCTGCAGGTAGAAGGAAGCTGGTCTCTAGGCCAGGGACCAATATCAGCAAAAGCAGAGGGGCAGAACATCTCAAGCATGTAATTTTAGAGTAATGACTTCAGAGTCTCATAAATTGTATGTTAAGATAATTACATGGCAAAAGTATTTTGCCTTTCTCAATCACTTTTTAGACTAATTATACACTTTATATGTTTCCCAATTTGAAATTTGTAATGTAGACAATAGATGAGGAGATAAGCATAGTAGCTCTATAAGGAAGAAAATATATAAGGATATAATATTTGGGATATTTAATGTGGACAGAGAGAACATGATTCTTATTAAAATCAAGAGTTAAGCCATTCCATAGCCCCTGTTTAATAAGACATGAGTTCAGCGGTGCTGTCTCATTTCTCCTGATGGCAGAAATTTGCATAGTGTAAGCTGTTATAATCTACTTGCTAATTACTTTCAGGAGTGAGTATGTGTGTTCATGCACCCAGAAGCTTATCTGGCAAATGTTATCAGTCATGGAAAGACTAATACACAATTAACAATCTCCCTAAGTTACGAATCCTGTTCTGTGTTCAGTACATGAAATTGCTTTTCATAAGTAAATATGTTTGTATTGAAAACATACTTTCTTTTTAGAAAATATGATGTAATCTTGCTCTGAGGAGATGATTGACTTATTTCAAAAAAACTTTAACTTTCAATTAAATGTCCAGGTCACTTTGAGGCCACTTAAAAGCAGCTAAATAAAACAGCTCACAGTTTAATTAAGTTTACATATTCCAGGTGGGGTGGCAATTGGTTCTATGCCACAATCGTAACTAGAAATTTTTCCACACAATAAATAAAAAACACAATTTTATTTCAATATATCAATCTCTTTAATAGTCAGTTTAATGTACTCAGTTGTATGGCTAGACAAAGACAGAACTGTTATGCTTAGAGCTACAGGTTACAAGAGGCATAGTCCTACGTTCCAGTTGCATTGTCTGATACATTAGAAAATAGATTCATATGGAAGTTTATTATGTATTTGTTTTCATCTATAAACTAAGATTCCTGAAACTGAGGGATTAGCAGAGATACAGTCCCCTTAACATGAATGATTTTTCTCCTTAACTGAAGGACTACACCACAACATCAAGGGTCCATGAAACACCTAATGTAGTAGCATATACAATCTGTGACAGAGAGGAGTCATTACTTCAAGAAAAGAAAGTCTGTTGAGGATGTAGCACAGCTGGAGGAGCCCTCACCTGACATGCACGGAGCTCTGGATTCTGTCCCCAGCACCATGGAAACTGAGGATGGTTGTTAATTCCTGTTATCCTAGTACTAGAGGAAATTTAGGGCTATCCATGGCAACACATAGTGAGTTCAAGGCCCACCTGAGTTATACAAGAACCTGTATCAAAAATAGGAAAGGGGGGGGAGGGAGGGAGGCAGGGAGAGAGGGAGGGAAAAAGGAAGCGATGGAGGGAGAAAGGAAGGAAGGAAGGAAAGAAAGAAGGAAGAAAGGAAGGAAGGAGGGAAAAAGGAAGGGATGGAGGGAGAAAGGAAGGAAGAAAGGAAGGAAGGAAGGAAGGAAGGAAGGAAGGAAGGAAGGAAGGAAGGAAGAAAGGCCTTGCATTTTGTTTCCATGGACAATATAGCCACAGAGTGCTTTGTTTAGAATATTTTCTACTACTCTTTGAAGGCAACAGTTCCTTATTTAAACAGCATTTTAAGCCTCACTCTTTTTTAAAGAACATTCTAGGAAGCAGTATTTGTGCTGGGATACTATTCTAAGTTTTGAGACTATCTTTCCAATTTACATCCATCTAAAACAGGAAGAGCAGCTTTGGCACATTTAGCTGAAGCAGAAACCATATGCTCAGCAGTGAGTTTATGCTTTACTTTATCTTTTAGGCACATAGCCTCCTTTAATCCTAGTAGTCAGTGGGTATGGACCTGCTCATTTATATTATAGCATCCTGCAAGCCATACCTGCATCATTTAGCTCATTTTGAGTCTCATTGTAGAAGGAAGAGAAACACAATTAGGTTTCAAACGGCCAAAGTATGTTCCATTGGATCTAAGTGTGGTTCTGGTGTCCCAGCAACTCTAAGAACCGAATGCTGAAAAGCTGGCAACCTTTGATCTCTTCTCTGGTGTTCTGCCACTGAGCATGACTCAGCCTTTCTCTCCTGTGCCTTCCATTGCTCTTCCTATGCCCAACTTTCTCTTGAATGTCACTCAATCCAAGTCATCAAAAGTACGTATCTGATTGGTTTCATGGCTAGAATCCAGTGCAATTATCCTTGACAGAACCCTCAGGCCACACTTGCTAATAGGTCCAGCCACACTTCCACAAAGAACACAGGCTACTACACAGATGACCATCTGGGGCTAGAAAGGGAGTGCAGGGTAATGCAATATAACTTTATATACTATTCCTATGTACAATTTTTACCCAAATTGATCTGGCATTTTCATTAGGATGTACAGAGCCAAGTTGAGGCTCCTTTCGTAATTAATTGATCTATACCTTTCAGAAATGCCATACCGGGACAGACAAAGGCCAGATGAGTCGCCCAGCGTAAAGGTGATAAAAGCTTGACAAAATAAAATTCATGATCCTAAATTGGACCCTGACCCTGGAAAAAGACATTACTGGACCTAATAGCAAAGATGTAAAAGGACTATATGGATTATTGTATTTATGTTAAGTTTCTTAATTTTAATGACTCTATAATATTCATTCATGAAAGAGAACATAGCCTTTTACTATCAGGAAACCATCAATGAAAAATTTAGAATGGACTCTTCTCAGATCACTTATTATCATAAATATAAATATAACATGTATATGTAATATTAATATATTTAACATGTATATGATGTTAACAGATTGCATGTTTTATAAACCATCATAATCATATGTTTATGTTTATATAGTATACCTACTATGTGCATAAATATAGATATATATGTATTCAATATAAATATAATTAACACATAGGTAAAGTGAGAGAAAATTAGAAGGGAGGTGAAGGTTATATATCCAATATGCATTGTTCATGGTTGGTGGATATGTTCTGTCAGAAACAAAAATTAATATGTTTGCATCTCTCTGTAATTTTAAAGTTTATTGGACTAATAATAAATTCACAAGCTACAATAGTTTCATTGACTGCAATTTACCAGTAATCATATTTTTCTTGATAGTGAGGCCACTAGCAATCTTAATCACTAAAATTAACTCATGCATTACACTGTACACAGTAGTGTGTGTGTGTGTGTGTGTGTGTGTGTGTGTGTGTGTGTGTGTGGAGGGGGTACAAGACAGAGACAGAGAGAAACAGACAGATGGAGGGGGTGTGCATGGGCTAAGGTTAGAGGGGTCTCATATTGTTGTGGTTGGAATAAGAATGACCTATTGGCTAATATAGTTGAATGTTGGTTTCCAGTTGGAGAACTGTTGGGAAGAACTAGGAGGGCTGGCCTGGTTGGAGGTGTGTTCAGGGGGGATGGGAGCTTTGAGGTTTCAAAGGCCCATACCACTGCCCCCCTGCCTCCAACTTCCCAATAAGATGTAAGCTTTCAGGTACTGCTCCAGCGCCATACCTTCCTACCTGCCACCACCATGATGGTCATGGATTCACCCTCTGAAATTGTAAGCGAGCCCTCAAATGAAATTCTTTCTTTTGTAAGTTGTCTTGGTCATGGCGACTCTTCACAGCAATTAAAAAAAAAAAATTAAGGCACTTGTCCAAAGAAACCTCACTGAAGGCAGAAGCAGAGATCTAGTAAAGATGTAAAAGGATTGGACTGTCGAGACAACAAGGTGGGTAAAGTGCTGTCTCTACAAGCTTAAGGACTGAGTTTAGAGTCCCCAACACACACACACACACACACACACACACACACACACACACACACACACACACACACACATACATACACATATATACACACATGCATGCACACACACATACACACATGGACACACACACACACACACAAAGCAGACAAATAAATAAATAAATGAAACAAAGAAAGTCACTGAAGGTGGTTGATGACAGTAATCTGCCCAGTGCCTAGATGCCAACATTCAGGACTATGGATGGAGACAGGGCATAGGAATGATCAGGATGGACAGTCAGACTGAAAGGTAGACTGAAAAGACAGACAGGTGAGCAGAAAGTCAAGTGGGTGGCATCAATCAGGGAGCTGTGTGGAACTGAAGCCCCAGGTGCAGTCAAGAGCTAACTGCTCATCCCTTGCACATGTGCCCAGTGGTGAACTGGCAGGGGAAGGCAGTCACTGCCACCGCACTCTTGGGAGTGCCTCCTTTTATCTCACATGACCCAAGTAAGAGGTTTCATCCTTGCTCTGGTAGATTTGATAAGTTCATTGACCTGGTTTTTCTGGTAAAGTTTTAACGCACCCACATGCCCACATGTTCCCAATCTACTTTAACATGTAGACAAGGAAGTTATCAGAAGGTTCATGCTAGGCAGGCACATGCAGGAAGTCACGGTGTTACATGATATACATGATATGCAGGAACTGGGAACAGGACAGTAACTTAGAGAGGGCACCAAAGCTTAGGGAGGGTGGGAGCTTAGAGCTGTGTACCGCTTATTCCCCGCAGTGGGTCTGGCTACAGCTTGCATCAAAGGATTTTGTGTTTTTGTTTTGTTTTGTGTTCAAGATCTTCTTTCACCTTTTCTGTAAGTTTAAAGTTGTTCGAAAATTAAAAGAGAGAAGAAAAATTATATTGAGCCATATACAAGGAAACCCCAAAGGTGGGGGTTTCATGATTAAAGTATGTCTCAGTTATGTATAATTGAGCGCCAAGAGAGAGAAGAGAGAGAATTGGGCAGGACAATTATAAATAAGTCCTGGTCAAATTTTCAAAGCCGGCCCTTGTAGCATGAATCTTAAATGTTCTTATTAATAAGATCAAACCTGAGCCAGATATTGGGGTGTACACTGGAAGATCAGAGAGTCAGAACAAGCCACAGCTAACCTCACTTGGCCAACTTCTCAGCTGGTCCTGTTTCCTGACTGGAAGCCTCTGTGTCCTCATTCCAATGGCTCTCAGCTGAACTGCTGCTTGAAATCCTGAACGCTTAACCAGCCAAATGCTTAACCAGCCAAATGCTTAACCAGCCAAATGCTTCTAGTTTCTGGTCCTCACGCCTTATAAACCTTTCTGCTTTCTACCACCACTCCCTGGGATTAAAGGCTGCTTTCTGGGATTAAAGGCGTGAGTCACCATGCCTGGCTGTTTCCAGTGCGGCCTTGAACTCACAGAGATCCAGAGGGATTTCTGTCTCTGAAATGCTAGGATTAAAGGCATGTGCTAACATTTTCTAGCCTAAGTATCTTGTGGCTTTTCTGTTCTCTGACCCCAGATAAGTTTATTAAGGTACACAATATTTTGGGGAACACAATACCACCACAGGCCCTGGTGGCACAGATTTGTACTCCCAGCTACTCAGGAGGCTGAGGTAGGAGGATCACTGATTCAAGTCTTTTTCTAAAATCTAGAATGAGTTCAAAGCTAGTCTGAGCAACTTAACTAGGCCTGTCTCAAAATAAATGCATTTTCAAGGCTGAGGGTAAATCTCAGTGGCAGAGTACTTACCTAGCTTAAGCAGAGCCATAGGTCCAATCCCTAACACCACATAAAAATGATGAATTTTCAGATTTAATGAATGAGATTTATATATGTGAAAATGTTAGCAAATAAGCAGAATAAAAAATATGAAGAGGCTCATCCCGAGGTTTCATATCAATGCCAAATATGGAGCGTTCGCAGAATGCTATCATTAGATACATGTTTGGTAACACTAATTATATTGTTTTCCTAGGGCTTCCATAACTAATGCAAACTAGAAACACATTCTCTCATAGTTCCAGAGGCCAGAAGTCAGTATCTGAGGCACAACCATGCTCCCAGGAAAGCTCTGGGGACAGTCGTCCCTTGGTGCATCCTAACTTTGTGTGGGGCCAGCAATCCTTCATGGTCCTTGCTTTTCAGTTTGAGTCATTCTAGTCTCTGCCTCTATGACCACATGGCAGTCTTCCCTCTGCACTTCTGTCTCTTTATCTCAAAATCTCCTTTTCCTTCCTCATAGGAGTGCTAGCCACTGACATGGGGCCGACTCTAATCCAGCATGACTGCATCTTGACTTGATTACATCTGCAAAAAACTCCAGATCTGCAGAATTCCAAATACGGTCACATTGACCGACACTAAGGATTGGAATCTGAACATATCTTTTTAGGGACACAGCTCAACTCACTACAGGATGTGGAAGACCATGATTATTCTAAAAGGGGACACTCTGCCTCCTTGTCTTTGGCTATAGGGTAGACGACTAACAAATCAGGCACAAGATCGAATTGTGAGTTCCAAATGCTGAATTAGAAGTCCCAGCAATTGTCTCATGTCAAACCAAAGTCCTGATAAAGGAGTGGGACCCTGAGACCTAGGACAGGAACAACCCAATTTCTGGCCCTACAGGCTTAAAATTTTTACTTTAATTGTCTCTATGTGGGTGAGTGTTTTGTCTACATATATGTCTTTGTACCACCCGTGTGTCTGGTGCTCACAAAGGCCAGGAGAGGGTGTCAGAATTCCTGGGATGGTAGTTATAGACAATTGTGATCTGCCATGTGGGTGCTGAAAATCCAACCCAGGTCCTCTGGAAGAACAACTAGAGGAACTATTTATTATTATTATTATTATTATTGCTGTTTGATAACTCTTAGCCATTGAACTATTCTCCAGTTCCTGGGCCTAAAGATTGTGAAGCAGGTTATCTGGACACTTTCAGCTAAATAACTGCTACCTCCAGCTGCAGTACAGCTGCCTTTCCCTGCTTGAGGATGAAAGATAGTAAACCAGAATGGGGAGCATGGGATTTGCTTTCAGACTTGTATATTACTAGCCTGTTCTAACTGGCATGCTGTCAATAGAGACAGGTGGATCCCTGAGTTTGAGGCCAGCCTGGTCTACATAGAAAGTTCTAGGATAACCGACGCTACATAGAGAGACCATACCCCAAAACAAAAACATCAAAACAACAAAATCATAACTACAAGACCAGAGCAGAGGACAATCATCTGTCACAATGGGAAAACATTGTTTCCTTACCCAATTTCCAAACCTAAGTCAGCTTTTATAACTATTCCCCATCAATTGAAGGGGAAGCCAGGGATCCTTCAGGAAGAATTTTTCAGTGCTATAGCAAGGACTTAACTAGACATTTTTTCATGATCTTTCATCAAAGGGGAGTGTGTGTTCACTTACTCCAGTAATTCTGTACAGATGTGAAGGAGCATATCCCTCTATATCTTTAAGACTCTACCCCTTGTTTCTCAGGATTTATACAGCCATTACTAAGATTATGTCCAATTAGGGCCTAACTGGAGAACTATTCACCCCCAAGAGGGAACAAATACTGTGTCACAGGACCTAGCTACTATATACAGACAGGAACTATGAGGACATGTCAGAAACAGGACCTAGAACAATATAAGATATGCTTTTTAACTTTAGGGTACTTTCCGGAGACTCAGTAAATAATGTCTTAGCAAGGACTGCTGAGGCCAGACTCTAATACATTAGTGGAATGGTTCCTTAAAATATGGGGGAAGGGGTGAGATGATAAAGCAAGATGTGGAAACTGTCGTGTGACAGATTATGAATGAAGTTATGACTACTTCAGAGTATGAAGGAAAGGAGATAGATAGATAGATACGGGGGTGAGCACAAGAGAACGTGGTCAGAACCAGAGGTGCCACCAGCTAAACACTGAAGGAGGTAAAGGTTCTCATCTTGCTCCATCAACAATGGATGCACTATTGAGGGAAACCCGGCTGTCAGGTAGCCGCTGTGACAGCTCTTCTTTTAGATCAGAGCTCAGCAAAGACCACTGTGGAGCTGAGCTTCATGTTATCAAATAGGAATAATAACTTTGAGGAAGGAAATACATTTGCTGTGGAGACCCACAGAGGCTTCCTAGTGAGACCTTACTCAGGGTCAGAGAATCTGAGCTTGCTTTACCCAGCAGGGCTGCACAATAGGATGATTTGGCCAGGGGTGTGTTTACCAGGTGTTTGAAATGGTCCACACTTGGCTGTACGGTGTGCTTTGATCTTGCAAG